GACTTTCAGGAACATGGATAAATTGCAGGCTGAGTGGAAGTTTGGTTTATGTGAGCAAAGACAAAATTCTCAGAAAATGTAACATCTAAATACCTTCTCTATTTCCCTACCTACCCCCTAAAAAAGCTATTCCTTGTAAGTCTCCCCAGCCATCTCCAGCGGGGATTCTACAGCAGCATTGGAAAGACCTTTCCCTATGGAATGGGGATAACCTAGCATTGCCGTGGTGGGTGGAACAGGGAAAACGGTCTGACTTTGTGGGTGAGAAGCCAATTTACTGTACCAGCAAAGGTAATTGAGGTGGTACCTGGAGCAGCCCACCCCTCGGTGCATTTCTCAGGCCAGAAGCCCACTTCCAGATTGGAAACGGAGTTATAGAGCCCAGATTTAGATCTTCATTTTCATTAAATGATGCAGTGATATTTGAGTGTAAGCCTGGCTTTGCCACGAAGGGGAGCAACATAGTATGAGGCTGACCGAACAGCCAATGGAACCCTGCACTGCTGACATTTTCAGGGGTGAGTCGGGCCAAAGTCGGGGGTATTTGGGAATGAATTTGGGGTTTGGCAGATGAGTACAAAGAATCTATGGGGAGGATAGGAAGCAGACAGCATAGGTGGCTGCATTTTCTGATTAAAGAATTTAAAAGTAAAATTTTGTAACAATACCTAAATATTGAAGAAGTAGGAAATGTAATTATATTTGGGAGCAATACTAGATCTGTATTAATGTAGGGAAAATTACAAGACATTTTAAATATTCTCAAAATGGATTTAAGTCTTTAAAAGTTAGACAAAGCTACCAGAAGAAAACATATATGAAGTGCTTCAGGACATTGGAAATGGAAGGAGTTTTTATAAGACCCCACTTTTTCCAAGGAGTTTTTATGAGACCCCTTTACTTTTGTCTGTAAATGCAAACAAAAACAGACAAATGGGCTAACACAAACTGAAAATCTTCTGCACTGAAAAGGAAACAATTACCAAGTGAAAAGGCAATACACAGAATAAGGAAAATATTTGCAAACCACGCATCTGGCAAGGGGTTAATATCCAGAATATTTTAGGAATATTTGAGACAAATAATAACAAGACAGCAACAACAGCAAATAGTCCAATTTAAAAGCGGGGAATAGACATAGAGGGACATTTCTCAAAACAAGACACAGAAATGGCCAACAGATACATTAACATCACTAATTACCAGAAAAATGTAGAATGGCTGTTGTGAAAAAGCAAGACCTTTTATGAAAAGTTCTGACAAGGATGTGGATGGAGAAAAGGAGGCACACTGTTGGAGGTTCCTTAAAAAAATCAAAGACAGAGTTGCCACGTGACCCGGCAGTCCCATTCCTGGGTCTGTGTATATGCAAAGAGAATGAAATCAATCTGTTGAAGAGGCAATGCGCTTTGGTGACTAGTACAGCTCCGTTCACAATAGCCTTGAAATGGAAACAGCCTGCCCACCAACCGATGAGTGAATAAGAATGTGGCGTGTATCCAGGACGGAATAGCACTCAGTCATAAAAAGGGGTGAAAATTCATCATTGGTGAGAACCTGGGTAGAACTCAAGGGCATCATGTTAAGTGAAATAAGTCAGGCACAGAAAGGCAAAGACCTTATGATCTCACTTGTGTGTGGAATCTACAAATGTTTATCTCAGAGAAGTTGCTGAGAGTAAAACAGTGTTTTCTGGAAGTTGGAAGAGTAGTGAGGAGACAATGGGGAGACTGGCCGACGGGTGCTAAGTCATGGCGAGGAGGGGTGAGTTCCAGCGTTCTGTGGACAGTGAAGTGTCTGTATATGATGATGATGTGCTGTGTCTTTCAAAAAAGCTACCAAGAAATGATAGATGTTTAAGAAGATAGATATATTTACCCTGATTTAATACTACACAATATATTCATGTATCTACACATCACATGCTATCCCATACATAGGTACAATTTTGCCAGTTAAAAGATAAGTACTTTTTAAAAGTGGATGGCTCCAAAGTCGATAATTAAGAGATTTTGCTGTATGTATATTCATATATATGTATATATATGTATGATTAGATTTTATTTAAATGAGGTTTAAATGAACTCTCAATCCTGTTGGCCATGTCAGTGGGGGAAACTGGTTGAGATCAGATTTGATTCAGAATTCTATGAACAGCATACATTTTTATACCGAAAAGTGTAACTTTCATGGAAGAAGGACAGCAGTCGGATCGAGTCCCTGCCTTCCCTTCTCCCTTCTCTCATACTTTTTTCACAAGTACTTGACTTTCTTACAATCCTGGCAGCATGCAAACCCATTTCAGAAAGCTCAGATACCTTTTTTGGGGAGCAGAGAGAATTAGATTTTGGTGTTGAAGATATACTACCGGCTGGGCGTGGTGCTGCACGCCTGTGATCCCAGCACTTGGGAGGCTGAGGCAGGAGGATTGCCATGAGTTTGGGGCCAGCCTGGGCCACATAGTGAGTTCAAGGTCAGCCTGAACTGCATAGGGAGACCTTGTCTCAAAAAGAAAGAAAATGTACTACAAAAGTTTGGTTCTTTTGGCAACACTATTGGTGCGAGGGTGCAGAAGACGCTTTAGTTGAATAAAATGAAAATGATGAGTGTGATGTTTCATCGTGTCTGAAAAGAGTAATGCATGGGGCTGGGCTCTCTTGGACCCTTCATCCCACCCGACCAACCCCAGACTGGCTGTGAGTGAGTTGTAGATAAGAAGTTCTTATTTCAGAAATAAAGGCCTTCTGGTCCTGTTCTTTGCCCAGAATATCTATCACCTCCAAGTATCCACCATGGTAATTACAGCAAGAGAGATAAGGAATTCTTTGCAGTTGGATGGACAGTGTCCTGCAGCTAGCTGGGAGCCTGGCTGTGCTCTTGTTGGAACTCACCTTGTGTGCAGTGGATTACTGGGGACCTGGAGCCGTGCAGCCCCTAGATGTGAAAGTGCCTAGAGCTCTATTCCAGCTGAAGGAAACTCCGCCCTCTCCCGACTCTTCGTGTGCCTGCCTTGTGTCTTTTTTCCTGGTGAAATCAGGCGATGCCATTCCAAACCAACTTCTAAATGGCTGCGTGGTTTCTCCTCCTAATCTCCAGCTTGGGCCAGAGGCTTCCTTTGTTTGTGGTCGAGGGTGAGTTTGGGGTGAGAAGGCCAGCCAGACACCTGCCCACAGCTAAGCACCAGGAAGCATGCACTGTAAAGATGGTGCATCCTCTTCTTTTTGATTGTTTTCTTTGCCCTTTACTATGAAGAACTCTGACATAACCAAGTCCTTTTCATTTTCTCCAAGTATACATACTGTGCATGCTGGCCAAACCGGGAATTGTCCTTTCATCATTTGAGAAAGCAAAGTTTTGAAGCTAAGGTGCTTATAATGGAAAATGAACGGATAATTTGGGTGCAGTAAGAGAGGCTCCTTAAGAATGAATGTGGGGAGCAAGGTCTTTGATATTTTCTTCTTTAGGATCTGAGGCTTTCTTTCGTCAAGATGGTCAAGAGAATGTTAACATTTGGCTGGCAAAGAGGAGAGTGAGAATTTTTTAAAAGGAAAATGATTCTCAAAATTTGATTCTCTGGGTTTTTTTACCTACTCAGAATTCACTGTGTAGTCAAGCAGTGTCATAACCTCAGACTTTTCCTCAAGCCAAAAATGCTTTAAAATGTAGATCCTATTAATACTTGAGAGAAGTGATTAATTCCATGGAACTGAGAATTGGTCACTTCTGGTGATGATTTGCCACACCTTATTGTTTAAGGTTCTGGTTTAATGGCAAATCTTGTAGTCAGTGTGTCCCAGAGGGAGGGACAGTACACTGGAATAATAAATTTCCTGTCTGTGAATGTGAGTAGAAAACAAAAATAATCAAAAACAGATCTTGCTTCTTGATTTTGTGTTTCCATACATTTTTCAACCCTTATCTGTGTGTGTACTTTGAATTTATATTTGCCACTCTGTTTCAGAATTCAGACTGAAAGTGTCACATTTATTGCATATTATACTGTGGATTCCCTATGTGTAGAGATAAACGCTCTTGAAAAATTTGCCTGTACCAAAACCAAGCTTGGCCCGGAGGCACTGAAACGGTTGGGCTCTGACCCTCTGTGTCAGTTCCTCCACTGAAGAGCTCCGCTCAGAGCCAAGTGGAAATGAACTAGAAAGTGTAGATATTGGGCATTTTCCCTCTATTCTGAGATTTTTCCCAGAAAAAGTATGTTTACACCAAAATAGCGATGAACAACTAATGTCCTTTATGCCCACCAGGACATATAAATCAGTGCTATGAGTTCATTATTCAAAACTTCTGTTCACTTCCTGTGGCTCACGGGAATCCAGCACTGAGGGACGACAAATAGCCTGCCAGGCTATGGCATCTTCCATGGCACTGTTAGTGCCAGAGTTGGTCCTGCTGCCTGTGCTGCAGTCCTGTATTTGAAACAGGGACTGAATAATTAATAGGTTCCACGTATTGTCCTTGTCCTTTTCACATATCTGTGCCCCGTTGGATTCTCATCACACCTTATAAAGGCGCCTTCATGTCATACAGACCAGGAAGCTGAGGCTTAGAGAAGATGCAGCTTGCCTAAGGTCACACAGCTCTTGGATGACAGTGGGGATTTGAAATCAGGTCTGCTGAGCCCAGATGTCCTAAATCCATGATGTCTCCCCAGATGTAACTAGCATATCATTAATGAGTTCTTTGCATGTGCTAACTTTGCCTTTTGTGTATTAAAATTGACTAGACAGAGCTTTTGGATACATTCTGTTTCATTGTTACTGTTTAAGCTGGTTTATATTGATTTGTTTGCTGAAAATCAAGAGCGGTAAGAATTTAGAATCTTAGGAATAAACAGACTGTAAGTAAGAAATAAATCATATCTATTTCTAAGTCTGATTTTGAGAAAGTGACATGATCTGTATTCAGATCTTTTATTTAAATTTTAATCTTTTTATTGTCATGACCAGCATGCCCACATAGGTGTTTTGTTTCCTACTTTTCAGGGATTTCTTGTGACCCTCCTCCTTCTATCAAAAATGGCCGGAAAAGTGACCATTCTACATCCATACCTCTTAATACTGTAATTGTATACACATGCTCTCCTGGCTTCCGAATCATTGGAGAAAAAGTTATTTATTGTATAAGTAAAGATGAAGTGAATGGAATCTGGGATAAAGCTCCTCCTCGATGTGAATATTTCAATAGAAATACTGTTTGCTCTGAGCCTGTTGTACCAGGGGGACGCAAAATTAAAGGAAGACTGCCGCCATACATACACGGAGATTTTGTGACATTTGCGTGTAATACCAACTTCACCATGAAAGGAAATAAATCTGCTTGGTGCCAAGAAAATAAAACCTGGGGGCCAACGCCACTGCCGATCTGCGAGAGTAGTAAGTCTGGGGAGAAAACCTAGTGGAGGGGCTGGGGCCTGGCATTCCTTCAAGGATGAAGGAAGAGCAGTGTGGATGCGTTAACCACGGGGGTGGAGGCAGGAAGCAAGAGAAAAGGTGAAAACTAGTTTCCTTCTTTTCTGAGTTGTGGAGAATTGTAACTCTTCGCCTGAAAAACATCAACTGAGCAAAGGTGTGAAAGTATTATAGGAAAATGTAGTTGAACATACCTAAATATTGAGTGGCAAGAGTCTCCCAAAGATGGGGGCCAGAGTTTATGTAGACTCTGGGAACTGGGTGGTTTCAAAGTGTATATGTGGGTTATGATTAAAGTAAGAAGAAATGTGGGATTTGACAGCAAAATACACCCAAAGCATGTAAAACTCACCTAGGAGCAGCCGTTAATCTGGGCTGGTTCAGGTGATTCTGTTCCCTGTGGCCTTGGCAGGCAGTTCTGAAATGACTCTTTCCACGGCTCACCTCTTGAGCCGTCACATAGCAAATGACTTTGAAAATAAAATTCTTCATTTTCTTCTCATCTGGTTCAACCTGTATTGATAATGAGATCTGAATTGAAGTATAAATTCTAAAGTTTCAAAGATTAGCAATATTTAACCAAACATACTATCAAAATTAGATATTTATTCCTTTAATAAAGAATAATATTAATAAGTCCTAAATGAATTAAAAAGCTGAAAATTTTTAAAATTATTTAAAAAATCTGATTCCACCTACCTATCAATGGATTGATCAGTCAGTGGAAGCATAGTTAAGTCTTGGAGGAAGATGAGCTTAAGATGGTCCCAGAATGGATTTGCTATGGAAAACAAGTGAACCTTTATAAAGACTTAGGCAGACCTATATGCACTGACATGGAACAATATAGATATACTGTGTTACTAAGTAAAGGAAGCAAAGCATACAATAATATGTATGAGGACCTACACTATCCTGTATATGTGTCTGCAGGTGTCATATATAGGGTGCCAATAAATTATATTATTAATGTACAATAGAAACTTCTAAAGGATATGGGCTACACGTGGAACATAGAACAGACTTACAGATAGGGTAAAAATGGACTTTTTTTTTGGTACCGGGGATCGAACTCGGGTCCTTGTGCCTGCGATGCAGGCGGCAGAATCACTGAGCTAAATCCCCAGCCCTTGGACTATTTTTTGACTACTGAAATGTTTCTCAAGGCAAAAGTCATTCTTATAGTGTGAGTCAATTTGAGAAATACAATGCTCCACTCACTTCTCTGGGGTTACATTTCTGCAGCACCTGCAAATTGTGAAAAGCTTCGAATTTCAGATATGATCAGAAAAATACCTATGAACGCCTATTTTTATGGTTTAAATCCTAAATATGCTATGTCTTCCTCAGTTCTGTAATTTAATTTAGTAAAATACTGTATAAATAAAGTCTTAGAAGGTGCGGGGCATTTTGGTGGCATCTTAGGGATCTTAGGGCTTTAAGAAGAACAAAACCAAGAGCCCTCGAGACAGCTACACGAGGTGCAGCAGCCTGTATGCGGGAAAGCTGGGGCATCTGCGGAGAGGGGTTACAGGCAGCAGCCAATCAGCAGCAAGGAGAACCGAATAACGCTCTCGGATTGGCTACTTGCAAACCTCCTGCCCAAAGAACAATTGCGGAAGGTATTTGGGATGAACTTGGGGGGGGGGGCGATCCGCAAATAATTATTAGGTTCTAAGGGAAAACCCGTGAAGGACTGAGGCCTCGAACTCTGAACAACTTCCGGAGGCAGGGGGTACACAGTAATGCAGTAGCAATGGCATTAAGTGGGTACAAGTAAAGCACATCCGTTCAATCCTTCAGAGGCTGAGTTGAAAATTGCAGACGGCTGGTCGCCATTGGCTGTCAACATCTAGACTGTAAAGGAGATAGTATCTGATGGGGTTTCTCGTACTTGTGTTTGTAAAGATTTCCCTCTGGAGTGCCCACCACTTCCCCAGATTGCCAATGGATACCACACGGGGAAAAACATTGACCACTTTGCCCCAGGACTGTCCGTGGCTTATGGCTGTGACTATGGTTACTTGCTTGAAGGACAAAAGACAATTCAGTGCTTATCTTCAGGAGACTGGAGTGCTGCCTTTCCGGTGTGCAAAGGTATCCTAAAGTTATAATCTCTTTTAAGAAACTGGGCTGCTCTGTTTTTACCCTGCTTCCTTATGCTTGGTTTGCTTTTTAGAGGCACAGTGTGAACCTATAGGACAGTTTCCCAATGGGCAGGTCACGGAGCCCCCGAGTCTTCGTGTTGGCATAACTGTGACGTTTTCCTGTAACGAAGGGTGAGTGTCTCGAGGGTCTGTGAGATCTGACCCACTGGGATTATCTGTGCCTGGTGTGAACCGTAAAACCTGCAGAAACCTCAGCATCTGGGGACAGCTTGAATGAGGGTGTGGGGGAGAGGGCTTTGAAAAAGAGCAAGTGCGCACAAACTGGGTGAACCTCCCTTAGAGTTTGAGTAGAAGTTGTTCTTCAGCAAGAACTGCCTGATAATTCCAAGCTATAACCCTCTGTCTCCAGGTACAGATTACAAGGCTACGATGCCAGTCAGTGTGTGATTGTTAAACAGAGAGCTACTTGGACCAAGAAGCCAACATGCGAAGGTAGGAGAGACAAAGTAGTTTGTACGGAACCACTGGGGTTCAAGAGAACACTGCATTCTCAGATGCATTAAAAAAATGTTGGTTCAGGGCCAGGGATTCAGCTCAGTGGATCTGCCACCTGCTGTGCAAGCGCAAGGACCCGAGTCCAATCTCCGGTACCAAAAAAAAAAAAAATGTTGGTTCATTATTAGCATAGACCCTTACAAAGCAGAGAACTCCTGGGGACCCTATGGAATGTAGTCTTCACGGAAGCCCCCTTCAATGACCTCTTTTGTTTCTGCTTCCTCAAATCAAATGGGGTTCTTAGGCTTTTCCTTCTCTGAAAGCTATGCAGACTTCCTAAGCCAGGCCACATACACAGCCAGGCCATGGACAAAAAGGAAATTGTATATTTGTTAATAGGAATCAAAGGATCAGCAGAGCAGAAGTATTCACCAGTCAAGTTGTACAGTCACACTTTGAAACAATACATTAGTTGCCATGATTATGACAAAATGTGACCGTCCTGGAACCTAGGATGCCAGAGTGGCTTCAAACAGCCCCTCAAGCTCTGCTCCTACTTGCAGCTGTCCTGTTTCTGTCATTTCTCTAGAAATCCTTTGCCCACCACCTTCTCCTATTCGCAATGGAAGACTCAGCTCTCCAACAAATGTTTCCTACGGAAGCTCCGTGACTTACACTTGTGACCCAGACCCAGAGGAAGGAGTGAGCTTCATCCTTACTGGGGAGAAAACTATCCACTGCACCATGGATAGTCAGAAGAGGGGGACCTGGAGCGGCCCTTCTCCAGACTGCAAACTTTCTACTTCTGCGGTTCAGTGTCCTCATCCCCAGATCCTTAGAGGTCAAGTGTTATCCATGCAGAAAGATCAATATTCCTATAACGACACTGTGGCCTTTGCTTGCGAGTCTGGCTTCACCTTGAAGGGCAGCAGGAGAATCAGATGCAACACCCAGGGCATGTGGGAGCCGTCAGTGCCCGTCTGTGAGAAGGGTAGGTATGCAGTGCTCCACAGTGCTACAGAGGTATCATTCTGAGAAGTCACAGGGAGGCCTGGTATGCTTTAAATTTTCCAGCTCCACACCCTGGGCCATCCTAAACATGGTAGACGTGAGTTCTAGCGAGGGCTTCTTAACATTACCTTTCCACCATTGCTTCATTTTGTGGAAATATGCTTGGGGAGAAAATGTTAAGGATTTCTAAGTTTTGCATTTCTTTAGGGGAAAAAGGGGAGCAAAACACTTGTTTGTCTTTAACAGGAGTTTCTTAAAAGCCTTCACTCAGGGGTAGATCAAAATCTCCATAAAAGCACCCAAGATGATTCCTTAAGAAGGAAAGAGATAGGAGAGAAGTTAACTGAGCAGGATCTGAACAAGGTTGGCAGCAGCCTAAGAGCAGAAAAGAAGACAACACTGATAAATAATGATCTGAAATTCCCCCAAAAGTGGGCTGTGCTGTACCCAGAGTGGAATTGTAACATTAATGTCGACTTCTTTGGATCAGTTTCTTTCCATTGTTGTTTACTTAAGATTGTTTTGGGGTTTTTTTCCCTCTGCTCTAGAGTGCCAGGCCCCTCCTCAGATCCTCAATGGGCAAAAGGAAGATGGACACGTGCTCCAGTTTGACCCCGGCACATCTATAACATACAGCTGTGACCCTGGTTATGAGCTGGTGGGAGAAGAATCCATCCGCTGCACCCCTGAGGGGAAGTGGACACCCACTCCCCCCCATTGCAAAGGTACCAGGCCTCAAGGACAGATGCTTTGCTGGTTTTCAGTTTTCCTGGAGCTGATTTCTCATCTTCGTCTCTTTCCTTAGTGACACAGTGTAAACCATTAGGACCTCAACTCTTTAAAAAGCCTCAGGATAGATTTGTTAGACCAGCTGTTTATTCTACTTGTGTTGAAGGGTGAGTGAGGGCTACCTCTGCCCAAAGCAGGTCTGGATTATCCGTGCACACTGCAAGCTTTATGTGAGTTCATGGCAAAGATCTTCTCCTGTCGTGTGCTCATAGAGTGCTGATCACGCCAGTCTTTCCATGCATGGAACCTGTGCAATGGATGCATGGTATGGAAACTGGCTGTGTTGTTGTCCTTGTTGCTTCTTGTCCTGAAAGTGGTGGCTCTGCTTTAGAGCCAGTTGTCCTCGCTTGGCTTAGGGGTTGCCAGATGGCCAAATGAAATGCCGCTCTGTTTCTAGGTACCGATTGGGTGAGAATGCTTATCAGCTGTGTCAAGGAGCAATTCCGTGGTACATGGAGATGCGTCTTTGTGAAGGTGCGTAGCAAAAATGACAGGGGATCTGAAATGATGCAAGATCTATGCATTTTCAGCGAGATTTCTGTTTGAGGCCATGCCATGGGATAATTTATGATATTCTATTGTTAACTTTGCCAGTAGTCATAGTTGCATCATTTTGCCACGTCTTTCTGTTGTTTCCTTTTTCTACTTCAATCAGTTAGATTAAATGTACTTTCTTACCGATGCTCTTCTGTCATTTAGAATTATAAGAATGATGACAGTGATGAAGATATGAACCACCATCCATAATCTAGGACATACTACTCTAGTGAAGACATTAGGGGACTGGTGGCAGATACGAACTCAGATTCTGTTCCTACTGCTTTGTAGTTGTATGACCTTGGGCAATTTGTGTAACTTCTCTGAATTCTAGTCTCCCGTCTGTAAAATTGGCATACAACTAAGACTTCAAAATTATTGGAATTAAATTGTGTTATTCCTACTTTCGGCATAATGAAACTACTTTTCCCAAAGTAGGTGCTCAGTCAAGAATAAATATGCTCTGGTAATCATATACATGATCATGTCATCTCAGCACAAAGGTAGTCCTCAAAAAAGCTTAATCCTTTTCCCCTGTACCTTTCATTCTCCTACTGGCTATGTTAAAAGAGTTCTTCTTTTCATTAGCAACTGACTATTGGGCCTTAATGCTTCATAAGGTGGTGATCAGTATGTTTACTCTTAGTAAAGATTTTCTTCTGTGAAATTAGTTTAAATTGAATTTTATATACATAACAGAGTTTTGGTATAACTCATGTTATAAAAATTCATCTATTCCTTCCTGAAAACGAAAAGGTCATACTGTGTTTGGCTTCTGTTTCTCGATGTTTGGCACTGGGACAGACTCACACAGCATCTTTCTGTCTCTCTAGAAATCACCTGCCCACCACCCCCTGTTATCCAGGACGGGACACACACAGGGAGTTCCTCAGAAAACGTCCCGTATGGAACCACGGTTGTTTACACGTGTAATCCTGGGCCAGAGAAAGGAGTGCAGTTCAACCTCACCGGGGAGCGCACCATCCACTGCACAAGCGATGATCAGGAGAGAGGGTTCTGGAGCAGTCCTGCCCCTCTCTGCACACTCTCCCTCCCTGCCGTGCAGTGCTCAGTTCCCCACACTGCACATGGGTACAGGATAGCCGGCAAGGAAGCCCCGTACTCCTACAATGACAGTGTGACATTTAGGTGTAAGAGTGGATATGTTCTGAAGGGCAGTGGTCAGATTCGCTGCAAAGCTGATAGCACCTGGGATCCCGAAATACCAGTTTGTGTACAAGGTAAAAGGCCCATGGTGTGTCAGGGGTGTTTACTTTCTTACTCCCCTGTGTCACCTCCCACTCGGAACCAGAGTCTCAGGGAAGAGCAAGGGGCGGTGTGTCACTCTCCCATTTCTTTCCACGCTCCAAGAGATTGCTCTGAGAGTCGCGTGTGTTCTCGGGTAAGCGCCTCCTTGGACTTGGACGTACTCAGGTAGAAACTGAGAAGTCCTTTGCAAATGAAGCATTCTGCTTCAGGAGAGCTTCCTGGCCCTTGACCTCGGAAAGTTGCAGACTGCCCCTGGACTGGAAGTGCCCCTGGTGTTGCTGCTGGTTTTTGGGGGCCCCGCTGTGGTCAGCACCTGGGGAGCAACATGGTCTTTGCTGTCTCGGAAGTCTGCACGCAGCGCCATGACCCGGGCCCCACGCTGTGAGACACGACAAACACTGTCTGCCTTTCGGACACTGGAGTCCTGCGCGCGGGCCCAAATGTCCTTTCCGTTCCAGGGCTGTCTTTCTCCTTGCTATGAGGCGCCTGTAAGTAATCCCAACTTTGTTCTTGCAGAAGGCTGTGAGCCTGTGCCAGAACTTCCGGGCGGCTCCCAGGCGGAACTCGTGGACACGTCCTGTGGAGAGGGGTGAGTCCCAGACCTCCAGTTCTGAGAAAGGGGTGCACTTTGGAGTAGGCGTGGCTCTGTGCGCAGCCTGCCCTGCTGAGTCCCCGCGCACAGAGGACGTTCGGTCCCAATGGCCTGACCAGTAGCTCTGGCCTTTCCATGCTGTCGTACATGGGAAAGGCTTTGCTCTGAGTGTCTCTGGGTCTAAAGTAGTTTTGCATTTGCCGGACCCAGGGTTTTAGCTTCTCTGTGCTGAAGTTGGTTAGAAGTGCCATGGGATTTATAGTTTGAAGGCGTCAGGCTGCAGAAATGTGACAGTGGGCAAAGAAAAAGGACTGGGTCACCATGTGTCTCTCTCTAGGTCCCAGTTGACTGGATATACTTATAAGAAGTGTCGAGATGCCAAGAACAGAGTCTGGTTTCAAAAAAGTCCGCGCTGTGAAGGTAAATTGGGAATGAAAGAGCTAACTGTGGACATATGTGGTCAGAGAGGGAAGGCCACTAAAGAACTAGCTTGTTTTGATATTTTCCTTCTCCTCAGTGTACGTAAGCTAATGGAAAATCTTTCCGTGTCTGACCAGTACTAGCGCTGGGAAACAATTGTGAATTAGAAATCAAGTAGTTGCCATACACCTGCTAATTTTGTGAAACATAAAAATGGCCCATATTTTTGGGTCACAGAAACATAGGTGTTTTTCTTTCATATACTTCATTGTTTTCTGGATTTTTTGGAATAAATATGTACTACTCATATAATCACGACATTTCTGAAGTTGCTTAAGAAACAGCATAATCCAGGTTTCAAAGTTTAAACAACCGGTGGTGTGAGGGGTAATGCAGTCGCATGCGCCGTCTGCGTCTGAAGGGAGACGGTCCACTGTGATGTTCTGGCTGAAGCCGAATTCCCTAAATCTCTTCTGCAGCTATTCACTGTCAGCCTCCACCGCAGACTGCCAATGGGAGGCCCACAGGCGTGACAGCAAAACACTTTCTGTATGGAAATGAAGTCTCTTATGAATGTGACCGGGGATTCTACCTCTCGGGAGAGAAAAGCTTACAGTGCAGAATGAATTCTGAAGGTCAGGGATCTTGGAGCGGGCCTCCCCCGCTGTGCTTACGATCACCTCCTGGAACTCACTGCCTGAACCCAGACGTCAAACATGGATACCCACTCAACAAAACGCGTTCTTCGTATTCTCACAATGACACAGTGCATGTTGCTTGCAATCCCGGCTTCATCATGAACGGCAGTCACTTGATAAAGTGCCATACAGATAACACATGGGTACCGGAGATACCAACCTGTATCCGAAAGGGTAAGACAGTTTAAGGGATGAAATATGGGATGTTGCACAAAATGAAGGGTTTTGAACATGGACTTGCCATTCCACCCAAAGAACAGCATTTAAAAGCTAAGATGGTTAGGTTGTTTATAAGAAACTGCCTCATCTTCTCTCCCAATTCTCTGTTTCCGTTCATCTCTCACTGTGTACGCTGAGCAGTTGTACACAAAAAGACAATGGTGAGCTTCCAAATGGATGGAGTCTCCACATTTACTATTCTTATGAATTTAGAATAGGAAAACTACTCATGCTTTTTGTGCAAATGTTTGGCAGCGATGTCATTGAGAATTTGGTCCTTGAGGCTACCGCACCAGCCAGAAGGCTAATTTTTGTGTTGTGGGGAATGAACCTGGCCTTCGGCACCACTGAATTTTCTTTCGCGTACTCTTAGTTGCCAATGGGCAGCTTTATTCCTTTCAGTAATTACCTCTAGCCCAGGCTTCCAGCTGTGGGACCCAGTGGAACTCATCTCCCCAGATCGGTTCTCTCTGGCCAGCACAGTGATCTTATTCTAGGTGAAATCCATTCCCATAGCCCTTAACAATGAAGCCACCAACAGTGAGGTCTGAGGGGCTGCCCCTTGAGGAGCACAGGCTCTGTCTAGTTTGTCACATCTGGCGGCTTCACTTCCTAGTTCCACTTGAATGTGTGCTGCTTAGACTACAGCCTGTTTGCTACTTAAAGGGAAAAGAAGAGAATGCTTTTGGCTGCTTCATTTGGCTTCAGTATCTCCATCTGATGCATTTCCTCAGATCATGTACGATGTAGGTATAAAGTGCACATCTTCCCAGCGTTGCTTGGTCTAGTTGGAATGCAAGTTTCTGGTCACCAACTAATTGGCTAATATATTGCCCATTGCCTTTCTGGGTTGCTGTCACACAGAAATGGTGTCATCCAGATAGTCTTTGATGCTACATTAAAGTTCCTTTCTCACTGGTCTCTAAGCTTCCGTAGAGTGTCCGCCTCCGCACACAGTCCTCAACGGGAACCATTCTGGTGGAAATGCAGCTCGGTTTCTCCCTGGGATGTGGGTGCTGTACACCTGCGACCAGGGTCACGTGCTGGTGGGGGACCCGCTGAGCCTGTGCACACACGAGGGGGCGTGGAGCCCCACCGCCCCATACTGTCAAGGTGCGTGCTCTAGGGTTCCTCTTGTTGTTCTTCTTAGTGCATCACATGTTCCAGATAGGCGTGTTCACAGTTAGGTACTTTCAACTTAGAATAGCCAAAGAAATGCATTAATTGGGCCATTTAGTTAAATGCATTTGATTGGATTAATTTATTACTTTTAATCAAGTATCTCAAAATAAGAAAAATAGCTTAGGCTGTAGCCTGACTCGCAAATGACCAGTCTATATAGAAAGCTGAAGTGCTTTCTAAAACTAAAGCACAGTTTGTTGCTCCTGTGGTTATCATTAATGATAAGAGTGCACTTGCTAAAATACCAATAAAGAGCTCGATGGCCCTTTGAATCTGTTTCCTCTGAATGGCGGTGGGATTATGCATAGATTTTTGTAAAAGTTCAGAAAGTCATATGCATGATCATAAACAGTGTGTGGAATGAGCAGTAACGTCATATTGATATCACTGAACACCTGATGAATGCCAGATCCTGGGTGTCACCCTTTACACACACGATCTCATTCAGTCTCCATAGGGTCCCCAGTAGGTTGCTGCCATTGTGATCCCTGTGGTCCAGGTAAGGTTCAGTGACCTGTGACTGACCTTGAGTCACATGGCCAGGAAGGAGGAGCATCAGGATCAACTCCAAGATCCTGCACTATCAATCCCTACACTGAAACGCTGAAGGAAGAAATGAGGAAGCACACACATGGTGCAAAGAAGTAGAGCATACACCAGAAGCAGAAAAAGACAGCAACTCAGACTAGTCCGTGTGATTCCTTCTTTGACCCTCACTGCTTCTCTCAGAGGCCATTAGAATCCTCCACTACTACCAGCATAGACATAGAAGCAGAAAGAAAGCCATCTGGCTAAACCCCCCCGGGGTTATTACAAGAGATTCCTGACACTGCAAAGGCCATGCTTAGGACATTATTTCCTGAAGCTCTGCTTCTGAGAGTGAAATAAATTGGTTTTGTGAATGTTTCCATTAAGGGCAGTTTCTGCTCTCTTGCTTCATGTGGATTCCTTCATTGCAGAGGTCAACTGTAGTGCCCCCGAGAACACAAATGGAGTCCAGAAGGGGCTGGAGCCTAGGAAGATGTACCAGTACGGGGCCATCGTGACCACGGAGTGTGAAGATGGGTACACCCTGGAGGGCAGCCCCCAGAGCCAGTGCCAGGACGACCAGCAGTGGAACCCCCCTCTGGCCACCTGCAGGTCCCGTAAGTGCCCAGGCTTCACTGCTGCTTCCTTTGACCAGGAAGAGCAGACAGCAAGGGGTCCCCTCAGCAGGCTTTCAGCTGACACATCCAGAGCCAGTGGTGCAGTAGTAGGTGAGCTTGCAGCTGGAGCTCCATGCTGGAAAAGCGCAGCTTCGCAAGGATGGGGAAATAATATAAAAGAACAAAAAGGAGAGGAATACTAACTCAAAAAGAGCAAAAATGCTAAACTAACAGCCTTCCATGTAGAGTGGACTCGCAGCAGACTTCCCTGCTTGCTAAATCTTGATTTCTGGGTGCTGACCAATTTGACAGTGCCACACACACACGTTAACTCACCTGTGACCACAACTAAAATCTGCACTGGATCCTGGGAAGTCGCCGTTTATAAAGCCAAGTACTTCCTCTTTTTCTCCCTTGGCAACCTGCCCACCTAGCTAAATAAAGTGAAAAGAAAATACAGTGAGGCTTTATACAAAAGCGTGCTGTAATGAGGGCACTGGTTACACCCTGAATAGAGACCTGAGTTCTGGGACAGAACCAGAGGATGCTGGGAGTTGGGCCACACTGAATTATGCTGCTACACTGACATTTTCCTGGTTTTGTGTTCTCCTTAGGTTCCTCTGATCCTCTTTTTTATGGTAAGTTTCCTTAAATTCTTAAAGAAAACCCCTTATCATGCTTTATACATATATGTGTATTTTCTATATCCTACCTGTTAGTATTTTTTCATTTTAACTCAATAGTTATGGTCGTCTTTGATGTTTTAAAGATATTTTAATGTACATGTCACATTACAAAATGTCCCTTTGGATTAGAGTTAGATAAATATTTAAACAGCCAACTATCCCTGATTTTTAAATTCAGAGATTCAGTCTGTTAACTCTCGGTGTTTTGCGTGATCTGGTACTATTGAAATAGGTTTTCTTACTCTGCTGTAGTAAAATGTGTTTCCAACTGAGAGTCAAATGTTGTTATGCAAAATACGGGACCCTCCTGTCCTCTGCTCCTGATTTCAACACAATGACAAGAATGTTGCTAATAAAACTGGAAGGACCAGAAAAACTCCACAGAAAATGGACTTGAACCTGTGCTTATGTGACTGGTGCTTTAGTAAAATGCAGACTGACTCAAATCAGAAAAACCGTAAGCCCAGTTATGATCATTCGAGAATTCAGTATTTATGACTGAGGAAAGTGAAGTATAAGTCATATAAGTTTCCCTGCCCCGGGGCCATCATGGGTCCCTAACACGGACTTCTTGGCCTCTGACACTCACTCTTCCCCTCCCACAGGTATTTTTCTAGGCCCCGGACTACTTCTTCTGTTGGTTATTGCCGCCTTATGCATGATATCAAAACGCCGAGAACGGTAAGTGCAAATGTGCAGCCAAAAGGCACAACAAACGTTGGCTTCTCTAAACACATAAGCACAAGTTTATTAGATGCGTGCTGCAGTGTGCTAACTGGTATAGAGCGTCTTGTGATATATAGAAGGAGAACAAACCTCTCATAAGGATTTAAAAGATACCAAACACTTAGCTTATTTTGTCTAATGATGTTTATTCGGGTGGTGTATCATAAAATAAAATGAAACAACCTAGGAAATAAAAAGAAAAACCCACACATAAAAGCCCCATGGTGACAACTGCAGATATTGCTGTATATTCCTCTTGACTACTTCTATTTGTCCCCTTTTCTTCCTGAGCTGAAATTTTGGTAGTATAATTTCTCATCTTGAGTTATTTTTCATTTAGACTAATGTACATTTTTTAAAATCATGTTTTCTTTATAGTTAATAGCTATTTCTGTGTTGCAGAAATTTTAGGTTGCTTCCACATTTATCTTGATAATAAAGATACAAGGAATAGTTTTTGATAAACCTATTTCTATATGTACTTATTTCAGATTTCAGAATTACTAGGGAAAAGCTTGTGAGCATTTAATGCATTTAGTAAATATTGCCTATTGTCTTTCCAGAAAGTCTGTTCTAACTTGATTAGCTATCAAAATAATTAATGTAACTGAATGACCTGTGTTTCTTGATCCCTTTGCTCCTTCATTGATCTGTTATTTCACTGCAAGCCACTTTGTGTTTCACTAGGATAGATTTATCCTACTATGATATCTAATAAGACAAATCCCTCAATATAATTTTTAGGACTTTCTATTTCCTTCTGTTTTTTTCTTACAGGTGATTTTTTGGAATCATTTATCATCTTTCTAAAAACAAACATGTTGTGATTGCATTTAAGTCTATTGGTTAATTTCTGAGAAATTGGCCTCTTTTCTGTGATGTCTTCTATTTCAGAAACACACTAGGCCTTTCCATTTATCCAAATAATCTTTTCTTTTACTCGGTTATTTTCATGATTGTCTAAATAAATATACTATTAGGTTTCTATTTTTGTTATAATGTTTTATCCTGAAATTAGACATACTTTTACATTTTATTTTTAACTTTTTATCATTTGAATCTGGAATTTATTTTGTGGTACTGGTGGATGTAACCTCACTGGCACTTTTTTCCTATGTAGTCAACTATTTCAAAGCCTGCTTTGGAGAAACCATGCCTGCCTCACTAGTTTGTAATGCTTTTGGCTACATCTTAAAATTAGCTTCAAATGTTATCTAGGAAAGTTTGTCTTAAAGAGGGACTTATTCTCATCATTTTTTAGTGAATTATCAAGTTGTCTCAATAAAAAACTGTATTTTCAGCTAGGCTCGGTGGCACATGACTATAATCCCAGCTACTCAGAGGCTAAGAGGATCACAAGTTCAAGGGCAGCCTAGGCAACTTAGCAAATAAAAATAAAATAAAAAGAGGGCTGAGGGTGTAACTCAGTGATGAGCACTTGCCTAGCATACGTGAGGATATGAGTTCAATTCGCAGTACAAAACCTCATATATACACTTTCTACAGAGTATTATTTTCACACCATTTCCACTAGCTGTACATTTTTAATTACTTATTTATTGTTGTCTCATTTTATTGCCTACAGTGTTAAGTTAATAAATGTCAGCTATTTGCTATAGATACTTCTATATGTTGTTTTATCTAGCATAGAATACATGGCTTTTTAAGATTTGACCAAGAATATTAGAGAAATAGAAGGGATATGAAGGGGGTAATGATGATGTCCCTTCATTTTGTTCTTATATAGTAACTGCTGAATGCCTTCTATAAATTCAGAAGAGGAAAAGATCTCAAAAAAAGTATATATAGACATAAGGGCTATCATTTGCATAGCTTTCCTCATAGGAAGTTAGAAGATAATTTTAGCCAAGAGTAGTGAAAATTTTAAATAAGTAGGAAATGTGGTCTCTATCTCTTTCCTTCACGCTACTGAGTTTGCTAGCAGAGTCTTGCATATGTACGAAAATTCGCAATTTGGGAAATACCTAAAAGTAAAAATAATTCAATGTTTTAATCTCCTTATTAGCATGTTATATACTATATTTAAATGTCTTCATTGATGTGACCCAAATAGATATGTCAAACTAAATTCCTAAGTGTCACTGGTTTTATTTCCATTTTTAACCTACTTCAATTTATTTTCTAATAATTGATACAGACATTTGAGCTGCAATGGAATACTTTTTGGTAAATGAAATGAGAGAGGACTCATCAAAAAAGGAACATCTACTGGCAAAACTGAACATTAGGAACAGTCAGCGCCAGATGTTTCGAAAAGACTATGCTATTCTTCTCTGTCATCTAAGACGTCTTAGCAACATCTAAATCTCTCATTGGCCTAAAAATTTCCATTAGATAATACTTTTAATGTGTGTCCTATGAGCTGACCTCTTAAATATGGTAGTGACAAGCTATAACTAGCCTTAACAGTAATCTTCCCCAGCAATTTGTTTCAAAGCTGACAATGACAGTATAGTCACATTGTACTGTCATTCACTCGTTCCAGTCAAGGGGTTTTAGAAGCGCATTCCTGCTGCAGGGAGAGCTCAGTGATACAGCACTTGCCTAGCCTGAATGAAGCCTTTGAGTCCATCCCCAGCAACACACACACACACACAAAGCATATGTACTTTCAAAAAGTAAAATTAAAAACATTCTCTTGAAAATTGTTTGAAGTTTGTAGTGTTGTGTGAGTATGTAAAGATTTTGTGTTAAACTTGAAAAACACATATTTCCTTTTAAGTTGGAATGGAAAGTTCTGTGGCCCACAGGGCCGAAATTCTGATCATATGGTGAAATGAAGGCTTTTTTCAATTTATCTCTTGAATTTGAGAGTCATGACTGTTAGTGATTAAAAGTCCTGGATATGGTAAAGCTGGGTAGTGTTTGCTTCTGACTTGAACATTTATCAAACCATCAAGTTTTACATAGATGTTTTTACACAGATGTTTTTACACAGAAACATGGATGACTTATTTGGGTGGGTTTTTTTTTAATTTCCAGAAATGAGATCATAGTGATAATTAAGACAATAACATAAAATCATTTGTGAAAAACACTTACCATGTTTTGGAAATTATGGGGAGCAAACAACTATACAGCTTTATATAGTAAATATAAAGACTTTATTTTTTCTTATTTCTTTGATGTAGCAATTATTATACAAACACAAAGCCTAAAGAAGATCTTCATTTAGAGACACAAGAAGTATATTCTATTGATCCATACAATCCAGCAAGCTGATCTGAAGGCAAACTGGTATGAAATTGAAAATTCTTATTAATTTCTGTATCAAGATTACCTTTCATTTTTAGCAATAAGCATAATATTAAGTATTTATGGTTTTGACTATCACAATTGTCTTACTATTGTTAATTTACCTACTTTATATTAACAACTTATGCTCCCAGTTTCCTTTAAACTATATTCATCCATTCAACAAGTATACTAAATAGCAAAATGGTTAAGAAAAAAATAAGAGGATAAAGAGAATTGAAGCAGGCACCAGGGATAGCAGGAACAGGGTGGTGGCAAGGGAAGAGTCCTCGCCTGGAAAGCAGCAGTTGAACAAAGACCAGGGGGAAGAAATCAGCCAGCCACGTGGCTGCCTGGAGGAAGAGCTCTCTGGGAAAGAAGAGCGGTAAGGATAAAGGCACCAGGCAGTGGATTCCTGCTGCGTTGGGAGCACACCAAGTTGGCCAGTGTGGTCTAGAGCCAACAACCAAAGGGAAGGGTGGTAGAGGGGATGAGAGGAGAGGCACAGGAGAGGATAATCGTGTCATTGTAGTGAGTTTTTACTCAGAGGGAACCACTGGAGTTTCAGGTAAACGAATTACATAGTCACCTCAGCTGCTGTATTAAAAGGGAAAAAGAGGGACTATAGAAAGCCAAGGGAGAAGAAGATGGTCAACAGTGAAAGGCTACTGCAATAACCCAGGCAAGAAATCGTGAGCAGATACCACCAGGCTTGAGAGAAGAGGGCAAAGTCTGCATGCACTTTTAAGATGGTGACATTAGGATTTGCTGACAGTATCAGAATATGAGACCCAGAGAGGTAGCAACGGTGATGGTTTCTGGCCTAAGACATAAAAGGATAGAACTGCTAGTAATTGAGATGTGAAGAGCAAGATTGGGGAGAGAGGTCCGGAGTTGCACTTCGCAGCTGTTAAGCATGAAGTGTCTCATACACATCCAAGAAGAAGTGTCAGGAAGGCAGCTGATGTACAAGTGTGCATTTCCAGCAGTAGCCAAGGCTGGAGATCCCCAGTCAGAGCCTGGATTCACATAACAATGAGACTGCATAAGGCAGTGAAAGAGGCTGGGGAAGAGGGAAAATCCAAGTCCTGAGCCTCAGATTCTCCAACTTTAGCAGTCATGGAGTGGGAAGGGGCCAACAAAGGCTCAGAGGAGCTGCTTCTGTGTGGGAGAAAAGCCCCATGGTGTGGTGCTCCAGAAGTGAGGTCCAGAAAGGTGGGGAGAAGGGAGTGACCACGACTGTGCAGTACTGATTTAGCTTAAAAAGATGAGTATGAAAACCGACCATTGGTCAGGGTCAGCACAAGATTTGTTGAGTTTTGGAGGAAAGTAAGGAGGTGGAAGCCTGACCTGAATGAGCTTAACAGAGAATGAATGGAAAGAAGTCATGGATATCAACTATAGACCGCGCTCCCTGGGCATTTTCCTGTAACTGTGACCAGATGAAAAGAGATAGCAAGAGGTAGAAGTATGGGTAAGAAGAGGTCAAGGGAAATATTTTCTGACTGTGACTTCAGACTGCTACCTCTTGTGTAATCTAAAAGATATAAAATAAAGACACCACCGCTACCCCCTTAGAACTTACTTTATAAGATAAATAAGACTTAAGAGATCACAGTGTAAGAACAAAGCACTGCGAGCAAGGCACAGAAGAGCTGCTGCTGATTCTTGCTGCTGGGGAGACAGAGACAGGAGGACACCATGCCCTCCAAATCTGTGTCACCAAGGGCCCAGTGGAAACCCATCACTTAAGTAGTTGTTGAATGAATATATGAATAAGTGAGGATAAGAATATTTTTCCATTTCTTTCTTTTAGTTTTATGTATGTTTATCGATAGGAATTACAGCATTATTTGTTCCAGAGTATGTTGTTTGCAGAAGCACCTGTAATTGAAGGGTGTCTTCTAAGGTGCTTTATAAAGGTTGCACTTGATATGCAGACAGAATGTTAACACTCTTTGTTATTTCAGCTTTTGAATTTCTCTGCCACTATTCATGCTGCTGCCTAAACAGAAGTGATCTGTCAGTGGGCCTCCTGGCTTGGAAACCAACTGAACATTGACTGGAAAGAAACCACTTTAATATCAGCAAGTCTCTCTGTGCAGTCTCGAGATCAGTGTGATGACTTTTACAAGCTGTCATTTCCTGTATGCAGCCATTCTCATGCAGAACAAAGAAGGTTTGCCTGGCAGTAAAGAGGGAGCCCAGTTTCACAGCCATGTCAAGGACTCTGAAGCCTCGCTTATGATCTGCCTGAAGTCAAGGTGTGGTTATAAACAAATACACGGCTCAAAAATTGTCACCTTCCTAAGGAAGGCGCTAAAAGTGCTGTCCTTGTACCTAGAGCCACCTTCATTCCCAAACAGCGAACTTACAATTACCATATGCTTTTGGTTGTGATGTAGCTTTAACTATTTAAACCAAGTTTGAAGCACTTCCTCTGGTTGTGAAGGGACCTTCATGGAGGACCAGCTGTGCCTAGATGGTAGCTTCCCTCCTCTGATATGGCTAAATGTTTCACTTTTCCCCCAGTGGGCTGTGGACTTTCCCCACAATACTGTATGTTCTTTGCCTTTCTATAGCCAATGATTCCAATTCATGCAAAGTGTTCTGAAGTCGTAAGAGTCAGGTTTTTATTCTAAAGATCTGATGTACAAGTCAAGCTTTGGATCGTCCTTCACAGTTTTCTCGTGAGCTTCCTTAGTAAGGTGTATATTACCGTTCAGATAAACTGTATTTTAAAAAACCACTTGCCTTATGTGATTTTGTTTTTCTGGACCCCATGAAAACAGACATAGTCCTAGGGTTTTTAGAGTTTATGATTTATCAGCTGTTCTTTCTGGATCTATACCATGGTCATTTTAACTCAACTTTCAACCCACAGATCTAATTCCCTCACCCCAAGACTTTGTCTCATATTCGCAGCCAGCATCTGTGCCTGTCCACACACCCTCTCCTATGCACTCTAGATCTGGCTGTCAATTTTCTCTGTGCAAGCAGTTAAACTATTGAGAAAGCAAAATCTTGCCCCAAGTGACCACGAATTTCCTCTCTCTCTACTTTCTCTTATGATGATCAGCATCTTTTATTTTGTTTTTTTTTAATTGTGGTTAACAAAAAAACCTCACATACATAACATGAAATTTACTATCTTAACCATTTTAAGTGTGTAGTTCAGTAGGGTTAAATATATTCACATTATTGTACAGCAGATATCAACAACTTTTATCTTGTAAAGCTGAAACTCTGTATCCACTAAACAACAAATCACCATTCTCCCGCTTCCCAGCTCCTGGCAAACAGCATTCTACCTTCTGTTTCCCTAGATTTGATTACTTTAGGTCCCTGATATAAATGGAATCATACAGCATCTGATTTTTTTTGAGATTCATTTAGCATAATGCCCTCAAGGTTTATCATATTTTAGCACATGACTGGATTTCCTTCCTTTTTTAAGGTGGAGTAAAATTCCATTGTGTGTTGTTACATTTCTATCACTGTGACAAAATATCTAAAAAAAAACCCTTAAAGGTAAAAAGGGTTTATTTAACTCACTTTCAGGGTTTCACTCCATGATCATTTGACCCTCTTGCTTTGGACCTGTGGTGAGACAGTATATTGTGGTAGGAGTATGTGGTGGAGGAGTTCTTGCCCTCTCGTGGTGACCAGGAAAGAGAGAAGGAAGGGGCCAAGGGCACAATATCTCCATCAACAGGACATCCCCAGCGACCTAATTTCCTCTACTAGGCCCTGCTTCCTACAGGTCCTACCACCTCCCAAGACCACATAGGCTAGGGACCAAGCTTTTACTGCATGGGCTTGTGGGGTACTTGCAAACCACAGCCCATGCATAGATCACATCTTGTTATCCATTCTTCCACGATGAACACTAGGTTGCTTCCAACTATTGGCTATTGTGTTACGCTGCTGTGAACATGGTTGTACAAAATTCCCTTCAGACATTGCTCTCAGTCCCTTTGGATACATACTCAGAAGCAAGGTTCTGTTCACCGTCCTGTATTCATTCACGCTCAGTGCCATTTTCACTCCGCTGTATCGTCTGTTCACCTGCTTCAAACCATCTACCATCGTCTGCCTTCATCTCGCCTTCCTCTCTTACCTGCTACTGTAAACCCCAGAGGGTTATCCTCTCAGCTTCCTGCCCTCCACTTCCAGGCTTATCTAGATCCACTCACCTTGCTTCCATCCACCATTTCTCACAGACCACATCATGCTCATCCCATTCAGTCCCTTCCAGTACACCGCTCCTTCAGTTGACATCCTCTTCTGCCACTGCCTCTTCTGTCCCATATACAACATCCTCAACCCAGGACCCATTTGGCTGCGAGTGACAGAAATCCATCCCACCCTGGCTTATGTCACACACAGAGCTTATTATATCACATAACTGAAAAAGCCAAGGGTAGAGTTGGCTTTTGTCAAAATAGGAATTAAATGTTCAAGTCATGTCCTCAGGAAACTGTCCTATCTCCCATGCTGCTTTCCTTTGCTGGTTTCATTCCTCAACACACACTCCCCCCAAAATGGCAAAATATTTGCAGACAATGCTAAGCCTATATCCAATTAGCTTAGCATTCTAGTACGAAGGGCTCATCTTGTTGACGTCTTCAGAAGTCCATTCACTAACTGATTTGCTCAATCACATGCCGCCAAATGAACCAATACCTAGGTGAAATAAGTGAAATAAGCAGAGATGGCAAGGCCTGAGTTGGGTAGAATTGAGCTTTGGGGAGCGTTGATCTACCCCAGTGGTTCTCAGGAAAGCAGTTTTAACCCCAGAGGACATCCGGCAGCATCGGAAGTCATGTTTTGGTTGTTACAATTGGAGAAGTGGTGCTACGGCCTCGAGTGGGTAGAGGCCAGAAAATGGCCAGACACTGAATAGTACAGTCCCCCAGAAGAATCTGGTACAAAATGTCAATATGATTGAGGTTGAGGACCTACCGTCTATTGGAACCACGTGGTACCAAGGGAGTGAGTAGATTTTCCAGTGGAAAAATTTGGAGGCAAATTCTAAAAGGGACTTATTTAAAGCCACAGAAATCCATCATGCTCTCAGTGATGGCTAAGGTGTCAGCTGGACTGGTCTGAGAGACTCTGGATATGTGACTGGATGGGGGGAGGCTATCCTTACCATCACCTCAATCCACTGATAAGCACAGCTGCATTTGCGTTAGGAGATGGGGCCCGTTAGGAGGTGGGTTGCTGGGGGTATTCCTTTGGAGGGTGTATCTCTTGGTGGATTTCTTTTCCTGAGCTCTATTTCCTGTTCACCATGAAGTGAGCAGTTTTTCCTGCATTTCCTCTATTATGTCCTGCATAGGAACCATGGACTATACCTTGCAAATGTGAGCCACAGTAAATCTCTCCTCCTTTAATGGTGGGTGTCAGGTATTTTATCCCAGCTGACTGTCCTATCCCACGAAAGCTGACTAATGTATCCTCCACCTGAAAACAAATCCTTTCCAAACTCTTTTAATCTCTCTGTTCTCTTTAGCATGGTACTTTCTGAATGAGTTGTTGACCTTAACCATCTCAACCATTTGAGTCATTCATTCAATAAATAAATATGGAAATCCTTCTGTGTGCTAATCCCTGTTTTAAGTCATGGGATATATCAGTGATAAACTAAGATGTCCTCATATAGCTTTAATTTAGAGGAAAAGAAAAACAATAAACACATCATATGTAATAAAATAAAACATAAGAATAACTTTTAAAATTATATAAGCAAGGGAAGAGGGTAGAATATTCAGAATGGATGTGTTACCATGGAAGGGGCCAATATAATCCAACCTCTTGTGTATGATGAGGAGAGAACTGCCTAGTGTTCACCCAGTAGAAAGTGGCAAGCAGTTCCATTTAGTGACAATCGTGGGAAGCTGTGCTCGGGCAACGTGATGCACAGACAGAAAAAGGTGACATAAAAGTAAAATCACTGCACATGGGTCACAGCACCAGAAACAGCAACCACACATGTATACACCAGGCTGTCAGAATGTAAAGGACTTGCACTTCAGCCCAGGTGCCTCCCTCTGAATATCCAGGTGTGATTGACAGGAATGATTGACAGGTGCTGTGTTGTCTCGGTATCTCTCAACACTCATGCTTGTCCCAGAATCCACTCTGATCTTAATTACATTTATGACATCTGATACATATTTATAACTACTTGATGAGCTGGGAGCAAGTCAGGCTAGGAGATCCAACATATGTGTGCTCTCACCTGGATTTTTATTTATTTTCTACCCCTCTTAGGACTATGAAAGGAGGAATAACTGTAGGGTACTGTTTAGAATTAAATGGAGGGAAGGGAATAACTCCCTCAGATCCATTGTTTTTAATTGTCCTATTTCTCCCTGACAGTCCTAGTCCCCAGAAATCTTTAAGGGGTGTTAGAGGAAGTCCTGTCTTCTATGGCTACTTCTGGCTGAATATCACTGCTTGCCCTACCTACTTGGAGACCAAGGAACCCTTGATTGATTGATCTATGTGACCCTACCCCTTCGTACCAGCTCAGGCAATGAGGGAGGATGGCCTGTGGGTTATGGAGGGCACAGACAGGACATACCTTATAGACTTGGGTTACAATGTTATGGACTCCAGGCCCTATAAAGAGCCTGTGTGCCACAGCAATGGTGATGTTTCACCCTAGGTAGAAGGCTTCATGTAGGGACTTAATGACTTTCCACTGCACTTGTGGTGAGAACAGTTGGTTTCCCACATACCACCACTGGCCCTTTTGAACTCCTTTATTTTGAATCATTTGAAGCTCTTCTATAGAGTACCCTGGTTCTATGCCAAGGTCCTGGAATGGGACCATGGGTAGAGCTGCGGATGGGCAGAATTATATTGGAGAGCAGCCTGTTTGTCAGTGGAATATGCTTTAGGGTTTCCCTGGGAGACAGGAGCCAAGGAGGCTGGATGTCTCCAGCAATGGACAAGTGTTATCTCACTTGGGAGATTTGAGGTTCTCTGGTCCAAGTTTTACTATAAACTGGTGACTAGTTAAAAGCCTTCTTTCCTTGCAGATGGCAGTATGTATATGTAAGACCAGAAATGCATACTCGGAAAAAATACGTATATATATATATTCTTGCCCTGGGCAAGTTGGAGAGCCTAAGTGAAGGTAATGGGTTCTGCCTTTTAGGCATAAGTCCCAGGAGAGTGCCCTTTTGCCTCAATGACCTGGCCGGGGCTAACTATTACACCCTAATACCATCTTTTTTGAAACTGCTGCCATCATTGAACCACATGCTAGCCATCTCTGTCAATGGGGGCAGCTGATATAATTCTGGGTAACATCTATTCACACTCACGTTCTATCTGTTGGTTAGCTGGGAGGAGGGTGACTGAGTTTAAAATAGTACAAGAATGAAGAGAAACATCTGGGTTTTCAATAAGAATGATATGTTTAATGAGTCTTTAGTCATCCACAAATGTCCCTGGTATAATAACAGAACCTTATCTTGATGTGGGGTTAGAACTAAGAGCTTTTGTCACAGGATTATCGTAGAACCTTCTTGGACTAAGAAGTTCCATAGCAGCTACTGCTCACAGGCAGCTAGGACAGCCCTGTGTCACTCCATCTAGTCACTTGGAAAAGTAGGCAACTGGTCAGTTGTCCTTCCCCCAGACACTGAGTTAACACTCCTGTGGCTACTCCCTGTCTCTCGGCCATGAAGAGAGAAAAAGGCTTAGTTAGGTCTGGGATTCCTAATTCTG